CGCACATCTGATTGTGCACATTTTTGTAAATCAGTCGCACAGCACAAATGTGTGTGCACGAATCTGTGTGCACAATCATCGCTTTGTGCGATGTGAAATTTGAAATCGCACAACAAATTTGAGTGCGTGCCTTTTTTTTCTTAACACCACAAATGTGCGTGTGCATATTTTAAAAATAATTTCCACTCGCACAGTGCAGTGTGCGATTTTGTGCACCACATTCCGAACTCTGGATAAAACTATTGTTTTTGCGAAATAGTTGGTACAAGAAATTATATTCAACGACTAATAGTTGAGTTTAAGCTCCGTTATAATTATAGTTTATTAGAATATTAGCTTGTGGCGACGCAGTAGACTATAAGTTATTTGAAATTTAAATGTAAAATTCAATGTAAAATATATTCAGATTATTAATTTGTTTTAAGGAAAACGTTTCCAATTTCGTGCTTAAATAAAGTTGTTTATTATTGTTAAATTTTCGTGTCTTTATCTATTAGCAAAGTGTGGAGTCCTTTGTTAAAGTGGTGACCCCGACGTGATAAGAACAAACGGTTACGTCCACCAAAATTAGTTGAACAATATTTTTGCAAGTAACATTTTCAAGCAGCATGACTTTGTCGACGGTTAACGAAGCCGCAGCGGTGCAGCGAGAGAGTGAGTTATAAGAAGGTAATCTGAGTCGCGTGTCCGTCAAGGTACCACCATTTTGGCACGAACGACCAGAAATTTGGTTCGCGCAAATCGAGACGCAGTTTGCATTCGCCGCTATAACTAGCGACGTTACGAAATTCAACACTGTCGTCGCAGCGATCGAGCCCAGTGTCATTGCTGATGTAGCCGATGCTGTTTTACACCTGCAACTGGTAAATACAGTTACTTGAAGAACCAGATTAGAGAGCGGTTTTGTGAAAGTAAGCAACGCAAGATCCAGAGGCTCCTTTCTGAGATCGTCGACCATCGCAGTTGTTGAATGAGCTGACAGCACTAGCGAAGGATAAAGTTAGTAACGAATTCCTGAAGTCACTTTGGCTCCAACGTCTACCTCCGCAGGTACGTGCCATTTTACAAACATCAAGTGTTGACCTGGTAGAATTAGCTAAACTGGCCGATAGAATTTGTGAAGCGGATCTTTCTGTACTACCGAAAAAATACGGTATCAAACGTGTGGTGCCCATGACCTACATCATTGTTTAATATGGCAAGTCATTGCATAAAGTAACAAAACAATTGTGACATAATTTATTGAATGCACATTTGTCGCTTTGTCGTTTTGACTTTGATCATATTACACTTTTAAATTTTGTTTGACTCACGCCGTTATGGTTGTGCACTCGTAACATGATGCGCGAGCCAAACGTTTTATCATATGTGGTCATTGTACGGTAGTAACACAAATTCCTTTAGAGAAATGTTAAACCTTATGGATAACACTTATAATAATATATACAAGTAAAAATGCATAAGAAATAGATAACATATGTTAGAATAGTATAATATAGATACTATGAATATCATACATGTAAAAATTATATACTTTATCAAAAATTGGGAGTAACCAATGTATTGATTGGTTACTCAAGAATATATAGGAATTAAATAATAAGTTTAGTACATAAGCATATTTTGTATAAATAGAGTAAGATTTTACAAATAAATCAGATTCTTTTAGATTCTTTTGCAAAGGCAACAAGAATAAACTATATGGTATTTTGAATCTCTGGTTATATGCGGCATATCTGCTGGTAATACCATTAAGGCGGCTGAAGAGCTTAGAAAGTACTTAAAGGCGGCTGAAGAGCTCAGATTAATACTTATCCTTGCTAGGTCGAAACCTTTCTTCTGGGGCTCTTAATCCCTTAGCAATCCTGTCGAGTTAATACATATTAATGTATTGGATGAAGAACCTTGCATGGCAATCCTGAAGCTACACATCTTTACATGGCATATTCAAACAAGACATCTTTACAATTATATAATAACATCTTTACAACCTTAACATCTTTACAAACGAGGTAAGTCAGTTGTTTCATAAGTCAGTTGTATCGGCACGCCGATACGCGCATACGGCACCAAACGTTTGTCGTTATCCCTTGGTTTAAGGCGTGATTTCCCATGGACGTTTGTGGTGGCGGATGTTAACTATCCCATAGTCGGCGCAGATTTCTTGAGGTATTATGATTTACTTGTTGATATGAAACGGAAACAGCTAGTGGACAACAAAACGTTATTAGTAGCGAGAGGCGCGGCAGCAGTTGGGCAAGTGAACGGCATCCGACCCAACTCTATTGCAGGTGACTACAGTTCTTTGTTGAATGAATATCGTGATCTAGCCACATTGCGTGATAACTCTCGCACGTGTGACACGCACGTTGAACATTTCATCGAGACTACTGGTGCTCCAGTTTTTGCCCGTCCACGACGTTTGTCTGGAATAAAATTGGAGGAAGCAAAGAAGGAGTTTGATTATTTGTTGCGAAAAGGCATTTGTCAGCCGTCAAAGAGTCCTTGGTCGAGCCCATTGCATATGGTTCGGAAGAGCGATGGCTCGTGGCGACCATGCGGTGACTATCGTATGTTGAATGCGCAAACGAAACCGGACCGGTACCCGATCCCTTTCCTGCACGACGTAACAACCATTCTCCATGGAAAAAAACATTTTTTCTAAGGTTGATTTACAAAAGGCGTACCACCAGATTCCAATGGCGGAATGCGATATACCGAAAACGGCGATTACTACCCCTTTTGGGTTATTCGAGTTCCGTTTTATGACATTTGGCTTACGAAACGCAGCCCAGACATTTCAACGATTTATTAACGCAACAGCAGATTAACGTTTTGCAGCAGATTGTAGAAGGCAAGTCGCAACTTTTGGCATTTTATTCGAAGGCGTTGAATACGGCGCAATTAAAATATAGCGCTTACGCTCATGCTATACAGCATTTCAAGTACGCACTCGAAGGGCGCGATTTCATCATTCTGACTGATCATAAACCGCTCACGTTTGCGTTCAAGCAGAACAGCGAGAAGACTTCACCACGGCGCGTTAGGCAGTTGGAATTCATAAGTCAATTCTCCTCTGACATCCGTCATATAGCTGGTGCAGACAATTGCGTGGCCGATACACTTTCGCGTATCGCTCAAATTGAATTTGAGGCAGCAGAAGTGGACTTGATAGCTAAGGCGCAAGTATCAAATGACGAATTGCATGCATTACTTGAACATCAAGCCGACACATCTTTGAAGCTCGTTGCGTATAAGTTACCAATTTATAATACTGAGGTATTTTGCGACATTTCCAAAGGTGTTGTGCGACCGTTCGTTCCAGCCAGTTGTCGTAAGTTAGTGATGACAAAGATACACAACTTAGCGCATCCAGGCGTAAGAGTGACACGCAAACTGATTCAAGCAGGTTTCGTCTGGCCAGGTTTAGCAAAGGACGCAGCCAAGTTTGTCAAGTATTGTATCGCATGCCAATTGTCTAAAGTTAACCGGCACACCAAGTCACCTATAGGCTGTTTCACAGGCGTAGATGAGCGTTTCCAACATGTGCATATGGACATCATCGGACCACTACCATTGTCGCAGGGTAAAAGATACTGTGTGACGTGCATCGATCGCTTTTCACGGTGGCTCGTGGTGGTTCCTGTATCAGATATGACGACCGAAGTCATCGCCGGCGCGTTTGTTGAAGGATGGGTAGCACATTACGGCGTTCCTCACATTATCACCACAGATTTAGGACGTTTGTTTGAATCAACGATCTTCCGAGAGTTGTCCAGATTATTGGGTATCAAGCACATTCACACGACAGCATATCACCTCCAAGTGAATGGGATGGTTGAACGTATGCATAGGACGTTGAAAGCTGCTTTGCGTTGCCATAACTCTAATGACTGGACGCGCACTCTTCCATTGATTCTGCTGGGGTTGCGGACTACCCCAAAGGAAGATCTAGGCGTCAGTTCCGCTGAAATGTTGTATGGAAACCCGTTACGTGTTCCTGGACAGCTATTGTTACAGAAATGCCAAAAATCAGGTGAAACCGATTTCGTTTCAACACTTCGTAAAACATTGGCTCAGCTGAAGACAACCAACGGCAGCAGACATGGACATCATCCAGTATATGTTCCTAGCGATCTGCAAACCAGCAAGTTTGTATTCGTGCGTGTCGATCGGGTGAGAGCTCCATTGGAACAGCCTTATGAAGGACCGTTTCAAGTACTGCAAGGAGGTGAGAAAAATTTCGTAATTAACAGAAGAGGGAGCTGGTGCACCGCCGCATTAGACAGGTTAAAACCAGCTTATTTTACTAACGATGAAGACATCGGCAAGCAGTTTTCGCCATCGTCCGTAGTCAGTCATGAGCGGAAGCAAGCATTCGAAAAGAAGGTTTGTAACCGTCGGTCGATTCCTCAAAGGTTTCGCGTTCTGGCCGAGCAGTGCATTTCCCAGCGAAGCTGTGTGACTACCGCGAGTAACAGTATTAACTTCTCTTCATGCGTAGCGCGCCGTCGCCCAAACTCCGTCGCTAGGAGGGGGTACTGTGGCGACGCAGTAGAATTTAAGTTATTTGAAATTTAAATGTAAAATTCAATGTAAAATATATTCAGATTATTAATTTGTTTTAAGGAAAACGTTTCCAATTTCGTGCTTAAATAAAGTTGTTTATTGTTGTTAAATTTTCGTGTCTTTTTCTATTAGCAAAGTGTGGAGTCCTTTGTTAAATGCTTATATACGATACATAAGAAAGGAATTCACATTATAAGGAATTTAAATTGATTATAAGATAATGGATGTATAAATGAACTTAACTTACAGGTACTCTGTTATCGGAATTATCAAATATAATTTCAACATACGCTGATATTACTCTAGCACCAGTTCCTTCATGAAGTAAAGCTTGACGCTGCTCCGGTCGCAAATGAGTGAACTCATCACTTAGTACAAATTGTATTGCTGAAATAGCAAGCATAAATTAAATTAGATATTGTAATTAAATTTTCTCTACATATACATTAATTAATTATATAAATTTATGAAACCAAACGAAATACTTACATACTAAAATTAAAACATAATATATATACACGATGTTTTCTGAGAACGTTCCATAAAGTTCGGATTTTATTAACTAGTTAATAAAAGTTCATTTTCAATAGTTTCCGAGATTCAATATTTCAAAGACATACAATTTACGCAAAAAACTTCAGCCAAAACAAGTTCGTAAATTAATTGAGCGATTTAGATGAACCGTTTTTGAGATACTGGGGATTTTTTTGCCTCTATCATATATTCGGATATTTTGGAATTATAGTACTCATAATTATATTTTTCTAACAATTCAACATTTGTTGAGAAAAGTTACAGATGACATATCTGTAATATTTTGGAAAAGAAAGGAAGCGAAGAACCACATTTGGATTCACATTAGATTTTATTTGTTTTTGTATGAATTTTTTTGAAAGTTTTCGTTTTACATTAGTTCATGCCATTAGTTTCCATTCAGTTGGGTAATATCTATTATAGAAGCATTAAATCAACAAATACAAATTTTGAGTAAATTGAATAGTTTTAGACTATGAACCATGTATGCTACATTACAATCCGTAGAACTGCACGCTTCAAAAAACTTTGATATTGAGAGACCATTTGCGCATTTTAGAAGTATGTAATCATAGAAATAACAAAGATCTTGACAAACTATTTTCGACGCATATAATAAGACAATCATTTAAGCCAAAAAAAAAAACATCTTAAATACATTTTAAATAATATTGACAGACAAACTACTAGTTTTAAAAAAAGAATCTGAAAGAGAAAAAATAGGAATTGATAAAACAAATTTGATTTGAAGTCAATATTTTGTACAGCTAGAAGATCAAACATAGGTATACAGTTTGTCAACATTGTGTTTGCAAAACGAAAAAATGTTACAAATGCTTATTAAATGCACAATAAAACCGATTAAATTTTGAAATAAAAAAAAATTAAAATGTTTACAAATAAATTAAACATTTTTCTTCATATTAAACTAAAAATTAATCAAAAGTATCATTAGAACAATAAAATTGCAAAATTGCAAATTACATTGTAATTAATTATTGCTTATAAAAGTTATTTAAATAAATTATACAATATCAATTAATATTTTGTATGTGAGCCATTGGCCTCTACCACTGCTTGCAGTCTGCTTTTCAAAGATGATATAAGCTTTTTAATGTCATAATTTAGGGGAATTTTGACCCACTCTCCATTAACATAAACCTTCAACTGCGATTTGTTAAGTAGTTATCTTCCAGCAACTTTCTTTTTTAAAAACGACCATACGCGCTTTATTTATAATAAATCCACACAACCTCATGCAACGATGTTCGATCGTATCACAACTGGTATGATGTTCAGTTCAAACTCATTGCAACCCACAATTGTTTTTATACGCCTGTTTCTTTTGCCATTCTTGTTTTTATTTGTCTTGTTTATTAATATACATTGATTAGTGACGAAATGAATAGTAAAGAAATCCCTGAAACGATTTTTCCATATACTTTGTTGCTTTATTTTCTTGTACTGGAAAGGCCAATATCATAGGAGTAAAGAGTAATATAATATATTATTTTTTATTGCATCAAATGATGCTCTACAAAAACCATTATGTATGTACGAATGTGATATTGGAGACATAAAATCTGCAGCATATAAATATGTATGTTTTTATTGCACACATTTGTGCATATATTTTATCTCAAATGGAACTAGGTCTTAATAGTTTGAATTTTTGGTGACTTTTTGTAATTATTTTAAAAAATATTGTTTTAAATAAGACGTAAATAAGACGTAAATAAGACTTCACAAAAAAGTCTTTTACAATTCTTAAAACCAAAAAAATATTGAAAGTTTATATAAACATTATACAGTTTTTTGGTATCCATATACATTTATATTAGACATTTAAAATTTATTCATACTTAGTTTGATTTGTTCAAAAAGTTTAAAGTCTCTAAAATGAATCGTAAAACGATTGCGGGTAATAAGTGTTGTTTATCTCATTGTAAGAGATCCAAAATATATTTTCCCGATTTAAAACTATTTAAATTTCGCATGGACAACATTTAAATATAAAAGTTCATAGAATGAAAAAATCAGATTTGAGACAAATAAATTCGTATTGTGTTTTTACACTGCAATTCATAACAATATCAAACAGGTAATTTTGTTTTTGTTTTATACTATAAAATTCAAAAAATGATCAAATGTACATAATTTTGATTTCGTCACTGAAATGCTGTTTGATCGCTTGAACATTTTACAGCGAACAAACATACAAACATGCGTATAATGTAATACAGAGGGTTGCATGTATGATTGAATACGTATGCAGTCGGGCTTTTGTCAGCCTTACTCGACTCACATATAGGTTTGAACTGAACATCATACCAGTTATGATTCGATCGAACATTGTTGCATGAGGTTGGGTGGATTTATTATAAATCCACCAGCAAAATAAAGTGGGTATTTCGTTTGTATGAGCGTGGCGCTTCTTTGTACTATAGATTCTTTGCTATTACTGAAAGTTTGCCAAATTTAACAGTGGGAATAATATTCTTGTTTTGATATGCTTGAAGTGGTTTTCTCCAAACTTGTGGGTCCTGCATTATAATAAAGCATGATTTTCACTTCGTCACAGAAAATTACATCATCCCAGTACTCTGAATCATACCTTAAATGTGTACTAGCAAACTGAAACCGTTTTTCAATATTTTGAACAGATAACAACGGTTTTTTACGTGCAACTCTTGAAGAATAATTGTTTTGTAATAGCACTTTTCTTATTGTCTCATGACTAACAACAATATCAAAGTGCTTTTCCAGATCAAATGCCAATGATCGTAAGGAAATTTGAGAATTTTTGTCAATTATTCGCAATATTCTTTTTATATGGCGATCAGACAATGTTTTAATGCAGTGGCCCGCTGGTTTTAAACTAATGCGATTCTCATTTTCAACTCTGTTTATGATATAAATTGTTCTTAACCTAATATTAAACATTAGACTTTATTCCTTAGCAGATTTACCGAGGTAGTAATTATAACATACTAAATCAATATAATTTGAATTTGTTCTTTTACCTGGCATATTTAATCACGTGCGTTCTAGTTATTCCTTCACTTAAAACACTATTTTATTAAATAACAAAGAAACTGAACAGTTTTTGCAGAATATCATAACAAACAAAAATACTCAGACACATCTAACGGTATTCTGTCCCGTTAAAAATAAGAAATTGCAAAATTGCAAACACAATGTTTACACAACAAATTTGGTGTTATTTTTATTTTTCTGAATTATTTTATTGTTTTAATGATACTTTTGAATAATTTTTAGTTTAATATGAAGAAAAATGTTTAATTTATTTGTAAACTTTTTAATTTTTTTTTATTTCAAAATTAAATCATTTTTAATAAACATTTGTAACATTTTTTCGTTTTGCAAACACAATGTTGACAAATTGTACATATAACAAGAACAAACACAAAAGTAAAAAGTTACGTCTCATAAAACAAGAAACCAACATTACACATCTGAAATTGAAAAAAATTTTTTTTATGTTTAATATTTTGCTATGCACATTAGGGTGCCATCAAGGTATATGGGCAATTTTTTTTTTTTTTTTTGAAAAATCAGTTGACGGCACTCCCACATCGGTTTATTTTACTAAAATTAAAAATCTGTGAAAAGTTTTAGTTCAACATGTTTAATTTTACATAAAAACTATCTTTCCAAAAGTTATAGATCTATTAAAAACAAACAATCCACTTATTCAATTTTTCTGTATTTCTAATAATTATTGTGTAAAAGAAAAAATAAGCCGAAGTCACCCGATTGCTAGTTTTGCAAGTACTATGAATGTAATTGTCCGCTTCAGCTTTACAAAAAATTTAAAATAAATTCAATATTTCTAAAATTTAATATTTCTAATAATAAAAAAGTATTAATTCTAGGTTTCTCCGACATAATTTTTATTATTTTAGTTAAAGTTGCTGGAACAAAGTATCCTTGATACAATTTAGAAAGTAACGGCGGTAATCGTTAACAATTTTTAATATGTACTGTTTTTGATTCTCATTTTTTGTTAAAATTGAATTATAGTTATAGTTAAAATAGAATTATAAACGCTTAAAAGCGTTTTCTTAGCTTGAATAAACCCAAGGTCTTCATGCCATTTTGTGGGATATATTTTCATGAAGTCATCGCACAACTTGAAGCGATTAAAAATGTTTTTAGTATGTTTGTATACAAACTGTTCAATTCCCTTTTCGACGATTTCAGTTATTTTTACGCGATCTGTTGACACTCTCCTGACTTCCTTGTCATCACTATCTAAATTCAAATTCGAAACCATCTTTTTCTTTATTTCAGGTGATATATTTGAATCTAAACATGCCAAACCAACAAGCTTGGAGCTTAAATACCAAAGATGATTATATAATTTCTCTAAAGTAGCTCTAGATATATCTTCATCAATTTTTTCATATTGACTGAGAGTAAAAAGATGATTAAAATCTTAAAAAGGAGCTTTGATTGGTGACGAAGCATTAAACCATACTTCAACATATACTTTAGTAATAAATATACATATATTGCAAAGAGCATTTTTTTTTCTGCAGGCAATTTGGACTCTTTCGTAAATAAAAATATTTTTAATGCATATATGACTTTCGCGATCCATCTTGAGTAATGTATAGCCCCAGGGGATTGAAACTTTAAGCTGCAGTTCGACTTTTCTCCTCAATATATTAATGCAAGTTTCAGAAGTTCTCTATAACCATCTCTTGGTTGGTTATCCTTAAGAATCTTATTAAGTAAACTTGTAATTCGTAACACATCATCTGTGTTCAACGATTGTCTTACTTTTTCATTTTGTAAATCAACTGTAAAAATATGAACACTTATTTTCGGGCAAAATTTTTGAAATCGTTGAAATAGTTCAACATTTGAGCTGTCAGACTTTCAAATCTTAGCATGGGAAGCACTTTTAAAAATAATTTCGTAAATATGAGTCTGCAAGCTAAATACAAAAGATTTATTTCTAAATATTTTACAATAATTGAGCAAGTTCCGTTGAAACGACCAGTGTTTACTGTTGTCGTATCAAAAGCTAAAAGTTGCACGTGTTCCTGCAAACCCCATTCAAAAATCAATTTATACTTCAAGTATACTTCAGGTACTTCAAGTAATTGCTCAATAGACACATTTGAGATTATAATTGGTGGACGGTTCATGTTTTGTTTACCTTCTAAAGCTGACAGCAATTTTCCATCCCAATGCAAACAAACTGCATTTAGCACACAAACTTTGAACTGTTTTTTAAGTGTTCTATTTTTTGTGATCGCAGGTTTTGTCGAACAATGGGTATGGAATTTTTTTTCCTAATGATTCGATTATGGCGATAATGAGACGAATAGCATCACAATCACTAATTTCGCAGCAATAAGAACAGCTGCAAACTTCTGATCTACAATTTCTAAATTTCTTCTTGCTCTTGTGCGTGGTGTAGGTCTAAATTGTTATCACTCGCAGAATTTTCACTTTCTAATGATATCGGTAATGACACAGTTTCTAATCAAAATGTTACAATAATTTAATTACTTTTCTAGAAAATCAAGCAAAAAATACTTACCTAATTCTTTCATTTGCCATGTGCAATGTTCTCTTCTTTGTAAAAGTATTTCATACTTTTATTCACTTCTTGTTTCTCTTCGAATTTCTTAATAATCTAGACCATACATGTAACCAGCTCGACCCTCCCACCGTTGATTTATTAAAAAGTTCTTATCGTTTTCTATTGTTATCATCTCAAGTGCATTTGCGTGTGCCAAATCGAATAATGCCTCTAATCGTTTGTAAATTCAGCTTCTTTTTGCTAATCTCATAAGTTTTTTTATTAGCATGTTTTTGCAAATCTCTCCATTTTTATTGTAGGTTTTCCATCCAATTTATTTATGCAATTTTTTTATTCTTTTATTGGTATTCGTGCCTTTTGCCAAAATAATAATTTCTTGTATAATCTCTTGTATAATTAATCTATCACTTTCCCTTAACGATAACTTATCCATGCGCATGTTAAAAAAAAGAAAAAAGAATAAATACTTTTCTATTTGATAATTTACTACTAGTCAACCTAGAATTTGACTCGGGGGAAGAGGAAAAAGTCACACGGGACCATATCTGGAGAGTACGGTGGTTAGTTGATGATATTGATGGAGTTTTTGACCAAAAACTGCGGCTTTTTTTAAATGAAATTCAGCTTTTTTGTCACCAGCTTTGATTTATTAGTTTGTTAGTTAGTTGCGGTGGAGGGAGGAACGAATACTCCTTAATTAGATAAGAAAGTCAGTTTGAAACCACAAATCGTCGTAATAATGGTTAGAAAGTCAAGCTAGAACCAGCCAGAAGCAGGGGTCTGGCCAATGCTAATGTTAAAGATATTTCCCAGTGTGTTAAAGAAGGAAGTCCCCAGAAACTTAAGCCTAGTTCTGACCAAACCTGAACATAGACTCGAGAGGTGTTCTAGTGTCCTTTCTTCGAGAGCTGGTAGACACGAAAAGAAAGAAAGGACAAACACAAAAATTGTAGTTAATTTATTGAAATTTGGCTGACCATATAACTTTCAATTCGTTGAACATGTGTTTACAAAAAAAGCTGTTGAAGTGTGTACATGCTTTAGCTTTTTGCTGACCACGCTATCTTTTATTATTTTCTATTCCCACGCTAAACTGTAAAAGTTTATGGAAGAGAAATATAAAATATTGTTCATTACTTTAGAACGTTGACCGTCTTGCGCGAGGCATATAGCTGCTACATGGCATATAAATAAGTGAGCAGAGCTGAGCCTTTGTAATGAAGTATGCAATAGAGCCAGTCAAACAAAAAGACAATGTGTACATAAGTGCTAAACCTGTATTAAAGTGGTAGTTCCATTAAACTGTTAAGGATTGAAATTTACAGCGTTTTAAAAATAATTGATTGTACTTTTATGAAATTGTTTATATTTAATATTTATTAATTGTTTATATTTATTTTATTATTTTTTCTTTAAGCTATTAGCTAAATTTTCATTTTTTTATATTTTATTTAGATTCAGTTTTCAATTTTACTACGAAATACAAATTTTCGAGATACCATCTATTTTTGATATTTTTTTTTCTCCCGCAAAGCACAATAAACACAATAATACAATATAAATACATGTTTCATTTGACTACGACTAGTTCAAGTTCAAGTACAGAATACGTTTTAAAATTGTCAAGTTGTCAAAGACTTAGTGCTAATAGAGTAGTAATCTAAATTATTATTGGACTACTAATTCGGGAGTAGATCTGAAGGCTTAGTTCGTTTAAGCCTCCTCAGCAAGCCAGATGTATTATTCAGATGATTGACTGTTTCGTTTGAATGCTGTTGTAATCATTTGTGGTGCTTTACCGCGAACTTTTGAATTACTGCAGCCACAGATTCGGTCTTCAAATCCCGATGGAGGTCAGTATACGGAGCGTTGACTAATTTCCTAAAACTTTGTTTTGAAAGTTTTGGATGATTTGAATAGAGGATTTTAGTGCACATCCCCATAACTGGATTCCATACGTCCACACCGGAGCTAAGACTTGCTTGTATATCATTAATTTTGTTTAGAGAGACGGGTGATTTTTTCCCAAGAAGCCAATATTTTTGTATTTGGATTCTAGTTGAAATTGTTTTTTCTTTATATGTTCTTTCCATTTCAACTTTGCATCTAAGTTCATGCCAAGATATTTAACACTTCGTTCAATAATGTGTGTGACTGACACATAGATGGCGGCATTAATACTAAATAAATATTTTTTTTCGAAAGTGGCAACCTTTTTAGGCTTACTATCAAAATCATATCTTAATCCGACCATTTATTTACAAGTTACAGTGCTTTAAGTGACGCTACTTTTGAGTTTTCAAAAAAAAAAAATGAATTCAAACAATTCCGTGTGCTGATTTATCATTGTTTTTTAATGAAAAAAAATACTGTTCAATGCCAGGAATGGCTTGAAAAACATTATTCGGACTCTGCTGCATCAAAAAGCATTTGTTATTGGTATGCCGAATTCAAACGTTGTCCTACAGACACCGATGTTATTCCATCTACTGGACGGCCAAATGACGCTGTTATTCCGGAAAACGTTGAAAAAACACTGAAAATCATTAGGTCCGACCGTAAAGTGAAAGTGAGGGAGATTGCTGACATTCTACAGATATCACCATGTAATGGGTGTTTTCCTAATGGGTGCCGCGTTTGCTCACACCGGAGTAAAAACAACAACGAATCGATGATTCAAAGAGCTGTTTGGACATGTTTACGTGCAATAAGTCGGAGTTTTTGCGTCGGTACATTACGATGGATGAAACATGGATCCACCATTTCACTCCAGAGTCAAATCGGCAGTCTGCTGAGTGGCAAGCAGCCGGTGAAAACCGCCCAAAGCGACCAAAGACGCAGCAGTTGGCTGGCAAGGTTATGGCGTCTGTATTTTGGGATGCGCATGGAATAATATTCATCGACTATCTCCAGAAGGGGAAGACCATCAACAGCGACTATTATATAGCGTTATTGGAGCGTTTGAAAAACGAAATCGCAAAGAAACGGCCTCATACAGCGAAGAAAACAGTTTTGTTCCACCAAGACAATGCACCGTGTCACAAGTCGATGAAAACGATGGCAAAATTGAACAAATTGAGCTACGAATTGCTGCCGCAACCACCGTATTCTCCAGATCTGGCCCCCAGGGACTACTGGCTCTTCGCAGACCTCAAAAAGATGCACCGTGGTAAGAGATTTGGCTCAAATGATGAAGTAATCGCCGAAACTAACGCCTATTTTGAAGGCAAAGAAAAATCGTTTTACAGAGGCGGTATCGAAAGATTGCAAAAGCGTTGGAATGATTGTATCTTCCTAAAAGGGGACTATGTTTATGAATAAAAACGAATTTTGGCAAAAAATTGTGTTTTAATTAGTAAGTCACACACATTATTGAACGAAGTGTTAACTGTGTTTGAGTATGGTATTCGAGCACTGCACATAGTTATCGGCAAATAGTTGATTTTTTTGTTTGTAAAATTTACAATGACGGATTTTGCTTGGTTAAGTTCAATTTTCCATTTTTGAGTTTAACTCATAATTTGTTGCGTTGCTTCTGTTGATTAGTTTATGGTGTTTTCAGTGGTAAGGATCGCTGTATCATCTGCAAACGTGCCAATGACACATTCTGATGGGACTTGCAAGTCGGCTGTGTAAATCAGGTACAGAATTGGGCCAAGTATACTTCCCTGCGGTACTCTGGCTTCAATTGGTTCAAGTGTAAGACCATATAATTTGGGATATCTGTTTCGAAAACCACTGTTCAATCTTATGCACAAGTCCTTTGTGACAAACTTTATCAAAGGCTTTCGATACGTCTAGGAATACTGCAGTGCAAATTTTTGTACTTTAAGAGCTCTTTCGATTTTGTCGCATATTCTGTGTATTTGTTTTTTTCGGAACCCAAACTGATGACTCGGAACTATTTGATTTTCTGTTAGTACAATCTGTATTCTATGAAGGAGAATTCGTTCAAAGATTGTTGATAAAACGGGTATTAAAGAAATTGGACGATACGCTGAAACTTCATTAGCAGGTTTTCCTTGTTTGTGTACCATAAGTACTTCCGCCACTTTCCAATAAATTGGGACGTGTCTTAAGCGCAGAGCTGCATTAATTAATTTGCATAGTTTGATTATTCCTTTGTTAGGGAATTGGTTTAAGATATCAGCGGTTATCTGATCTCAACCAGGAGCCTTTTTTAGTTTCACATTTCTTATTTCATTTTTTATTCCCTTGGCGAAGTTGGTTGTATTGCTTCGTTTAATGCATTTAAGTTATGCGTAGGAAGATTATTTCCATCATCATTTACTGAGAATGTTGCCTTAAGAAATTTTGCGAATAAATTTGCTTTTTCTTCGTCACTTTTGGTCCATGTTGTACCATCTGCTTTAATAGGAGGATTATGTTTTATAGGTTGTTTTACTGCTTACACGGCAGTTGTGGTTGTGGCTTGAAACTCGCTGCAGCTGATCTTTTTCTCTTTATAGTGACTGATGGTTTCCTTTATTATAATTGCACTTTCCCCTCGTGCATTGTTATTCGAGTGAGTAGTGTGGTAAGTTTCATAACCTCTAAATTTTATATGTGATTCCTTCGTAAAGTGCGTTTCTGCTATTAGACATATATTGACGGACTTTTTGTAAAGAATAGTCTGTAGTTCATTTTGTTGATGTAGCAGCCCATTTGCGTTCCAGAGCATAACTTTTATTGAAGACTGCTTTACACTCGGTGTTTGGGAAGGATCTGTTCTAGTTTACTTATCCGTTCATCTAAAACTTTATTAAATTTTTCCTGGTTTTGTAGCAGTTGAAGTAACAACTGCAAGGTTGAAGAAATCTCTCCAGGGTTTTGAGAGTTATTATTACAGCGCTTGAGCATATGAAGGTTTTTCATAATTTTGTGTTAATTTAGAAACTAGCAAATTTTTTTATATATTCAGCATAGTTGGGTTTATCTGGCTTACTACTTAGGTTATCTTTCTGAACGGTTTTGTTTCGCATCTTTTGTAGATCTTTGGCTACCATACATCCTCGATAGTTTGCTGGATGAGATTTGCCACAATTGCAGCATTTTGGTAAAGTTTCTGCTGGTTTTATACAGCTCGTTGTTGGATGCTTTCCCGTACATTTGACACATCTTGCCAGTTTTGAACAGTAGTTCCTTGTGTGACCAAAAGTTTGACAATTTTTACACTGACGTATTTGGTTTGGTCTTTTTACTGCTTCAATGGAGACAATAGTAGATAATATTATATTTATTCCGTAAACCTTTTTAATTTCTTCAATACACTCAAAGGTAAGCAGAAACATATCTAATGGCTACTTTCTTTTCCATTTAAATTTCCGATTTGCTCTTATGGCTTTGAGCCCTTGTCTCTATAAGTTCTCGACAATAAGTTTAGGTTCACAGGAGTGATGCAGATTTTTAAAAATAACACGAATAGGTCTTGTTTGTTTATCTTCATATGAGTACCAATCTATCTTAGCATTAGACAGCAGCTTTGTTATGCTTCTGTAGTCATCTGCTTCTCTGGTATTGAGCTTTTACTTCCCATTATTTATAAGCTTGAATGAAAAATCAGTTTTTGCTGTATTTTTAATGTCTTCGTAAATCTTTATGTAATCAGTAACTCCTGATATCATTATTGGAGGGGGAGAATGCACTTTGGGACTTTTAATATTTAATAGAATTTTCGTTTTCAGATTGGCATTTGTATTTTTATCATGTGAAACATGAAGCTCTGGAGAAGATTCAGCTTTTCGTTTTTTAGTTGGACGTTTTTGTTTCAATATCCAGTCAGTTTCTAACGCCAACTCCTCTTCATAAGTGTGGTACTGAACACTCGTGCTATCTAATTTTGTATCAACAGCATTCTTATCAGTTTCTTTCTTCTGTGATAATGAACTATTCTTTTCTGCCTTTAGTTTTTGATTTTCTTTCTTAAGCCTTTCACAACTGATTTCTAAGAGACTTGTTTTTTCTGTTAAAAATTTAATATTACGTTTTAACTTTCATTATTACATGAAGGGGATGAAATATTCCTCATGGCATCTTGCATCCTTTTAAGCTGAGCTATTCGCTGATCATAGTTCAAAGCCTAAAATAAGGTTTGTGTTTATGACAGATTTGAAAAATGTCTGATTGTTTAAGTGTTGGAGTTACCAATTTTTATATTAAAGCGGTAATTAGAAGTTAATTTAATATTTTACGAAAGAAAAATAAGAAAAAAAAACTAAACAGAAAAAAAATTTATTTATAAATTACACAATAAGCAAATTGTAATTGGTATAATTTCTGAGTCAATTTACAACACTTTTTTT